TACACTAAGGCCCCTTTATACCGCTCTGGCAATGTAAAAAGGGCTTTAAAATGAGTGTAAATTCTATTTACATTCACTGTAAGGCCTCTTTTCATTGCCAGAGAGATATAAGGGGGTTTTAATGTAAACGATTATGAGGCTCAATCATCGAATAATAGAAATATAGGGCTGAAAGAGACCTCAAGAAGTCATCAAATCCAGCCCCCTGCACTTAGGCAGGACCCAGTAAACCTAGAGCATCCCCGACAGGTGTTTGTCCAACGTGTTCTTAAAAACCTGTCCAGTGATGGGGATTCCACAACCTCCCTTGGAAGCTTGTTCCAGAGCTTAACTAGAATTTTTTCCTAATCTCTAACCTAAATCCTCCTTGCTGCAGATTAAGCCCATTACTTCTTGTCCTACCTTTAGTGGAGCGGAGAACAATTGATCACATTCCTCTTTATAACAGCCCTTAACACATTTAAAGACTGTTATCAGGTTACCCCGACCCCCACCCTGCAGTCTTCTTTTCTCAGACTAAACATGCCCTGTTTTTTAACCTTTCCTTATAGCAGGGCTGCCCAGAGGATTCAGGAGGCCTAGGGCAAAGCAATTTCAGGGGCCCCTTCCATAAAAAAAAGTTGCAATACTATAGAATACTATATTCTCGTGGGGGCCCCTGTGGGGCCTGGGGCAAACTGCCCCACTTGCCCCCCCCTCTGGGGAGCCCTGCCTTATAGGTCAGGTTTTCTAATCTTTCATCATTTTTGTTGCTCTCCTCTGGACTCTCTGATTTGTCCCCATCTTTCCTAAAGTACAGTACAATTATCTCCCGTGTCTAACATACAGTGCTTCTATTAATACACCCCAGAATGATATTAGTCTTGTCACAACTTCATCACATTGTTGACTTATAACCATTTAGCCAGTTATTCTACATTTTGAAGTTGTATATTTGATTTTTCCTTCCCAACTTAAATACTTTGCACTTATCTTTATTGAATTTCATTTTGTTGAATTCAGACCAATTCTCCAATTTGCCAAGGTCATTTTGAATTCCAATCCTATCTTCCAAAGTGCTCGCAACCCCTCCCAGCTTGCTGTCATCTGCATGTTTTGTAAGCATACTCTCTACTCCATTATCCAAGTCATTAATGAAAAAATGGAATAGTACTGGACACTGGACTGACTCCTGCAGGTCCCTGCTAGATACACTGTCATATTGTGGGGATGTATCTCTAGGGGTGATATTCACCTCTGTGCAGAAAGCCACACCAAAGCTTACTAACCGTTTAAGAACCACATAATCCCTAAAAAGAGAGATTTAAGTGGGACATAAGTGGTGCTTAGGCATGATGTTAGGGGGTGAATTTCACTCTAGGGTTAAAGATCACATGTGTTTTGTGTAGCGATTCTGCATTGTGGATGTAGCATGAATTATTTTTCTCTCACATAGGCCTTGGCTACACTTGGGAATTCACTGCGCTGCCATAGCAGCGCTGCCGCGGCAGCGCTGTGAAGCACGAGTGTAGTCGCGCCGCCAGCGCTGCGAGAGCTCTCTCACAGCGCTGTATGTCCTTCACCTCTCCGAGGGGAGTAGCTTGCAGCTCTGCGAGCGAGCGTGCAGCGCTGCAGGCTCTGATTACACTGGCGCTTTACAGCGCTGCACTCACTGCGCTCAGGAGGGAGCGTTTTCACACCACTGAGCGCAGCAAATTGCAGCGCTGTACAGCGCCAGTGTAGCCAATGCCATAGCGTGGTTTGACAATGGTTGGAACTCCATTAGGCCAGATGGTAATATCACTTGCACCAGTGTAAATCTGGAAGCGGCACCATTAAAGTCAGTGGAGTTGCATCAGTGTGAGAGAGATCAGACTCAGGCCTATTGACTTCAGGGAGGTTACTCTAGATTTACACTGGTGTAAATGGGAAGAGAATCAGACCCAGAGAGCAATGCTGCCAACTCTTGTGATTTTATCACAAGTCTTGTGCTATTTGGTGGTGGTTTTTTTTAAATTCCCAGCTCCTGGAGTCATGTGATTACTCAAGAATCTCAACTTACTTTTTTTTTTAAACAGAGGAAGTTTCAAGCCCTCAAGGTTATAGAGAAAAGCTTAAAAATGTGAACTATTAAAACCTGAAGGCAAATAAAAAGACTCTAGATTTGTTTATTTTTTAAAATTTCATGATTTTCGGGTGATACCCGACATGAGAATTTTGAATGCTTGCAGAGTCAAATACATAGCAACCCACATGCTTTATACAAAAGACTCTGGTGCTCACCACTGGTCACTGGGAGCCCCTATAAACGCTTCTTTAACTAGTGTGACAGCTACAGCACCGATAGGCATCTGTGCTGACTGCAGAGTCATTGTTGAAGGTCATTCATGGAAGTTGATTCTAGACATGGAAGTTGAAACTAGACAAAATTAGACTAGAAATAAAAGGTGTACATTTTTAACAGTCAGGATAATTAATCATTGGAACAACTTACCATCTCCCCCCTCTCCCCTCCAAAGATATGCTCTAGTTCAAACAGGAATTAATTCAGGGAAGTCCTATGACCTGTTGTATGCAGAAGGTCAGAATAGATGACCACAGTGGCCTCTTCTGGCTTTTTAAACTATGACACCCCAAGAATTGGGGACAGCAGCACTGCTGTGTCCCTGTATAAAAACAAATGTCTCTGGTATTCTATACTAATGGTCCAAACCACGACAGAGTACAATAGTATAGCTACATTTTATGGGGGCCAGGGCTGTAGAACTTTGAAATCAGCCTAGCAGAGTTCTGGGTACTTCTTTCAATGCACAGTTGAAATGGTAGGCTGCTAGGTCTTCCAACCCCCTCAGGGCATCAGTGAGGAGATGTTTGGAGAGGCAATTCAGCATTCCAGCCTCTTTCCTTGTCAAAGTAGGCCTGTGATCTGCAGGGGCTTTCTGGTGGCTCTAAGCCACAATGCTGTTTACACGGGTTGTATCAGCAGTACTGATCTTTTCTCAACCTTTTAGTGTTTAATTATGCAGGCCTTTAACGCAAACATAAACAGCACAAAGGGATGTCATAAACTCCGCTGGCAGCAAAGTACACAAAAATGTGACCGCACCATTACTAAAAAGACTTTTATTCCCACGGTGCACTCTGTGGGATTTTGCCAGTGAAGTTTTTCAAATTCCTGTGAATGTGGGTTGTTTTCCCCCTCATGGCATCATTCAGGGGAACAGTTCTAGGGCGCTCACTCTTTTTAGCCATTATAACGGCTGACATTTATTGAGTACTTTACCCCAAACTCTGTAGCGGAGGAAGGACTGACTGAGTGGTTAGGGCGCTAACCTGGGCCTCTGAAGATCCAGCTTTAGTTCCCTGCTTTGCCACAGATTGCCTGCGACACCTTGGGCATGTCATTTAGTGTCTCTGCTCCCCGTCTGTAAAATGAATATAATTGCACTCCCCTACCTCCCAGGGGCATTATGAGGGTTAAATTCACTAAAGGGTTACACACTTCGTTGCATCCATAGGCTGAGCAAATTGCATACACCAGGAGCCCTGGCCCTTCTCCATTCCCTGTGTGCCACCCTCCAATCCCCATCTATTTCAGGGAGTCTCTGTAACCCCCTCCAGCATGTGACCATGTGCCTGGGGTTGTGTGTGTCTGCCTCCGTTTTTACTATTGGCCTCCATTTGCCCCACTCATGGCAAGAGCTCTGTGTGGCCCCCCACCCATATCCTTAGGAATGAGAGGCTATTTGAGTCTCCAGGCCCATTCATTTCTAATACTCTCTGCTAGGACTGGCAAGGAGGATGCCAGTTGTGGTGCTCTCTGTGATATGGATAGTTGTCCATCAGGACCTGGATAAAGAATGCATTTCAGGGTGTATATACAGAGAGCCTCCCAACATGGGTCGATGGACAAGGGCTAGTGCTGTACAAATAGCCCTTTAGACAGTGCTTTGAAATTGCGGTTCTAGCTGGATCTTGGGCTCTGAAGCCCAGCCCCCTCTTTAAGCTTCAGAGCATGAGGTCCAGCCCAAGCTGCAACTTCAAAGCGCTGTCTGTAGAGGTAGTTTTTGTAGATCGTTATTGCAAGCCTGCTAGCCCAAGTCTGTCAACCTGGGCTGGGAGTCTCGCTCCAAAATGCTACATAAACATACCCTTATAGGCCATAAAACTGGTCACTACCAGCCTGGGATGGATTCACGTCAGCTTCCTAGAGGCTAAAGTTTCTGTAGCCATTATCAATACTAGGACCTTGGCTTAATGATGCCCAAGGGAAGGTCCCTTTAGGATAGCCTTAAGGCACTTTGTAGTGAGAGTGCTTGTAATACTCCCACTGGCTCCTAGATGAGCAGAGTTAAGCCAGTGCAAAATGCTTTGGGAATTCCCATCCTTAGGTTCTGCAGCGATGGGCACTAGAGGCAAAACACTAATCCGGCAGGCATAAATAAAGGGCTTCAGTCCCAGAGGTGCCAGGTTGGAGTAAATTCACACAAATATTTAAAAATAAGTACATGTATGTAACAAGTAAGAGAGCCCGTGTGATCCAGTAGACAGGACACTGGATGGGTCTCCAGAACCCTGGCCTATTCCCACCTCTGCCTCTAGCATGCTGTTTGACCTTTGGAAAATCTCTTCATCTCTCTGGTTTTGCTTCCCCTTTGTTTGCCTCGACTATTTAGTCTGTAACCTCTTGTAGGGACTGTCTCTTACCATGTGTATGTACCATGCCTTGCATGTCATGGCCGGGATATCTAAGCATCGCTATTGTACTAGTCCCACTAACTCTTTATCCAACAATTTGGGGAATAATTTTAAGATATTTCTGTCTGATATAATTGAGCTGGCCGAGAACACTGAAATAAAAATGAAAACGGGTCACTTACTTGCTGTCTGCCTTTCCAAATACTCCACAAGAGTCATGTTGTGACATGGGCTCAGATTGCATCAGATCGCATCCTGATGCTGAATGTTTCCAAATTTTCTCTAGCATTTTGAACTTCTAAACTCTCCTTTCCTTTCAACAGTGACCGAGAGTCGAGGCATCCTGGAGAGTATACAGAGATTTTCTTTGCTGCCAACTTATCTGCCTGTGAGCTATCATATCCACAATGCGGACGTTTCCTTCTTTCTTAAGGAAGCCAACCAGGATATCATGAGGAACTCTAGTTTGCAGTCCCGGGTGGAGTCCTTCCTAATCTATAAATCCAAGAGGCCACCTGTATTAAATGCCAGCTATGGACCCTTTTCCGTTGAACAAATAGTGCCGCAGGACCTAATGTTGTCTTCAAATCCATTTGGATCCACCAACAAGTTTTCCTTTAATTGGAAACTCAAAGCCTATATCATGAGCGACAAAATTTACCTGAGCAAGCCCAAAGTCCAGATCCTGTTCTACGTTGTGGGCAGGGACTGGGATGACTACAGTACCATGGAGAGGCTGCCTTGTCTGCGGGTGTTTGCCTTCCGCGAGACGAGGGAAGTCCGAGGCAGCTGCCGGCTGAAGGGGGATCTGGGATTGTGCGTGGCCGAGCTGGAACTCCTGCCAAGCTGGTTTAACCCCCCCACGGTGGTGGCCGGCCGCAAGAAAGCGACGGATCAGTCTGAAGGGAGCCCTGTGGAACTTTACTACACCATCCAGCCGGGGGACGAGACCGGGGAGTGCACTAAGGAGGACGTAAGGAAAAGTAATGGGATCAGACTGGGAGGCAACGATATTGATGAATCAGTACCTCCTTTGCAGAGAATTGGAAGTGTTTTCCTTTACCAGACATATGGTGGCCCTTCCTTAAGTGAAATGAGGTTGGATAACAATATCGCAATCCAATATATACGAAAGACTGTCAAACAAGGTGATATTTTGACTTTCCTTGTGTCTATTAATAAAAATTCAACGGAGGACCTGTTCACACTGAGGTAAGTTCTTTCTAAATTCCTCTGTTAAACTGAAAATCAGATGGCAGGGTTTTTTGTTGTTGCTGCTGTTGGCTTTTGTTGTACTGGAAGTCACTTTCACAAGGGTAAATTGATGGTAGATTTCCAACAATTCCTGCTTTATAGATGAGATTTAAACAGTGTTGCTTGTTTGATTCAATCTAGCAAATGTTGCCTTCTTCCTTTTCTATTATCCAGTCAAATATAGAGTGACCTGGGTGAGGAACAGTCTGTGAACAAGAGGCCAGCTGCCTTTGAGCAACTTCTGAGTAGTGCAAATGGGACATTTGAGAGCCATTTACTTGTCAGTAGGAGAAACTGCAAATTTCCCCCTGACCTGGATCTTGCAGAGCTCCTTGAGCAGTGATACTCAGACTGAGGCTTGCTTTGTCTCCTGCGGCTCTTTGCAGCACATGATATTAAAACGCTGTGTGATTTAATAATTAACCAATCAGGATGCTTTAAGTATGTTATCAGCCAATTGTAGAATACTTGGTCAGTCATTTTGCTGTGAGGAAAAAATAAATAAATAGTAAATGAAACAATGAATTCACACTATGGTGGCGCTTTTGGGTAATGTTGATCGCTAATTTGGCTCCTGAATCACTGAGGTCTGAGTATCACTGTCCTAGACATAACTTGCTCTGTCATTAGAGCCTCTTGTTAAAATGACTACATGCCCCGCACCCTGCCTGGCCTGTAAACCCTATTAGGTTGTTTAATATTTTCTTTTTAGGAATCCCAAACATCCCATGATTAAAATAAATAAAATATTTTTTTTTCCTCAACCCAAGTGAGAAGTTCCTTAGTTTTTAATGAAAACCGTACCTTGCAGTGCACCACCGCTCTGTTGTACTTGGTTGCTTCTTTGACAGCCCAGGATTTCAGGCCATACTGTAGCAAGCTTGGAGTGCTTACAGTGCATCAGGAGATTAACCAGAAGGCTTCAGTGGACAGTAAATTCACACTACATGCAAGTGACGTTCTCCCCAGTGGATTCTCTAGTTTCAAGCTTGTCACTCTCTCTCTACCAATAGCTTGTACTGCCATGGAAGAGAGGTGCACAGGGCTAATTTTTGTCTATTATTCCCTACCAATGAATGATGTCACTTCTCTGAGTGTTGGAAGTAAATGTCATAGTCTATAGTCTAGACTTCTGAGACTGTGCTCTGTGATATGACTTTCTGGGCATGCTGTAGAGATGAGCTGCAGCAAACAGATTCAGGGACCATTCAAGCACTGTGCCTCCATATGAGAAGATACCGCCCTCTTGGCAAGCAGTTTACTGTCCACTGTAATAAATATCTTAGGCAGACACTCCACAGTGAGCAGCTTCTCTGCACGGTAGAGACAAAAACAGTTTCTAAAGCCTTAGTGCTCTGACTTGAGGTAAAAAGAAACCTCCATTCTCTGCCAGTTGTATTAACTTGAACCCCAAATTCTCTGGCTAAAGCCATCTCAGCTTCTTAGAAATCTGAATTATAAACCAGCACAAGGCTGAAATGGATCCTGCTCTCCCAAAGTGAGGAAATATTGGTCCTGATTCTTCATTCAGTTATGCAGGCTTAATTCCACTGAAGTCAATGGAGTAGCGCCAGTGTAAAACTGGTGAGAGTGGAGGACAGGGCGTGTTATTTTTCTGCCACCCAATGAGATTATTTTCCTTCTCCAAGTGTGCAAGATACGGACTGGGTGAGCTAGGTGGCTTCTGCTGTCTAACACTTACTGTAAAATTACTTTCTGCTTTGGATATGCTGGTTAAAGCTGGTTTGGTGAGTGTGACTAGGACAGTGGTTCTCAAACTTTTATACTGGTGACCCCTTTCACACCGCAAGCCTCTGAGTACAACCCCCCTTGTAAATTAAAAACACTTTTTTATATATTAACACCATTATAAATGGTGGCTGCAAAGTGGGGTTTGGGGTAGAGGCTGACAGCTCCTGACCCCCCCCCCTGGTAAAAACCTTCCGCCCCCCCGCGGGGCCCCAACCCCCCGTTTGAGAACCCCTGGACTAGGACATGCAGTAGCCCCTTACAGTACCCAGCCTACTTTTAAAAAAACATCCCCCCCCCCCCCCCCTCCCGCCCCCAACCCTTGAGTCAGAAAGGAAGCAGTTTGGATCTTGGGCAGATAACTAATCTGTGAGCTGTTAACAGACAGGGAGATTGTATTCTTTACAGACAGTAATTCATTACCCAGTCATCTCTAGTTATTTGTGTACTTGTGATCTTAGGAGAATATGATTTCAGACATGCATGGAAATTACTACAATGCTTGAAAGTTGGTTTAATTATAAAGAGTATAGACCTTTTCAGTCTAAAGGAGAATAAATACAACCACTTTCCTTAATTGTGTTTACATTGAGACTTTAGGGCCTAAAAAGTTGATATTGAAGCACTTATGTGCTAATTAACTGTGATCATTAAAAAGTAGAGCTGGCCGGAGGATGACAATTCATAAAGGAATTTGAAATCTGGCTTCGTTTTTCATATGAATGAAATGCAAAAACTTCAGAATTCTGGGGAAAAAATTGTTAGCATTGATTGAAATGCTTGGTTTTCTGTTTTATTTTATAATATATAAAATACAAAATTAGAAAAAGAAAAATCATTTCAAAATAAAAATATCAAAATGGGACATTTTGGCATTATTAGAATTTTGTGGAAAAAAAAATTTTTTTTTTTGGCCAAAATCATGTTGATTTCATGAAGCATTTCACTTTCGATGGAACTGTATTTCCTTTGAAAAATGGCCTGTTGAAGTTTTTCCAGCTAGTGCTACTTTAAAAGAAAGGCTTGCTGTAGTAGCAAAGTTGTCAAATGTGTTTCTGAAGCATCTCTGCCTGTCTGTCTCTGATTTAGCTACCATAGCTCTAATTTATTTTTTTTTAATTCCTCTGTCATCACTGTAGTATCTAAGTTCCCCCTTTGCCCCTCAGTGAAATACACGTTGCTAACTCAGAGTCTGGGGAGCTGCTGTTTGTATAGGTCAGCAAGCAACCAGTGCTAAGAAAGGACAAATGTTGAGGTCTATTCAGTACTTCCGGGGAGAGTCACCTCGTGTCAAGGACTAGTGTAACCCCAGTTGTTGAGTGGGGAATAGTGTTTGGTGCTGACCCTCTGCACGGGGTGAATTTCACCATCTGTGGTTACCCATTGGAGCAGCGTAACAATATTTAGCATAGGCATTTTTCTATTTGTAATGTAATTTTGGGGAGGACAGGGGAGAACTGAGGCAAAGATTTACAAAGATGCCTGTGGCTTTGGTGTCCAATTCCTTTTGGACTGGGTCTGCCCTGTAGGGCATTCGGTTCCCTCATGCGACTTTGAAAATCCTACCCTGAGTGTTCAGACATGCGAAGGGTGAGATGGAATGCTCCAAAACTCATGATAAATTTAGGCTGCATATTATGAACATCTTCCTGATGTTGAGCTGTGTTAGGCTGTGTAATCGTGGGGGAAGCCTAGTCACTTGGGCTGTTTAAAACTAGACTGGACACTGCAGGAAAAAACAGTCCTCCGCTGGTCCCCAGGAGGTGGATGGCATGGTTCAATAGGTCTCTTCCGTCTCGAACATTTGTGGTGCTATCGAAGATTTGCATACAAGGCTGCAGTAGAATAAGTGCAGGCATATATAGACAACCTCTTAGCATTCATTTTGCTGGTATTCTAAATGCCAAGGATCTATGAGTTAAAAGACATTAATGACAGGGCAATTTCAATCTCTCTCAAACCCTGCCCTGTGACTGAAGTAAGATTTTCCTATAATAAAATAGGACCTGACATGTCAGTCTAACATACCATTATATTGCATGACCCTGCCTTGCACTTTGCCAGTTACAGTACTGGTAATTTGCAGTCTAGCAGCCTATTCTGATTTCAGAATGCACAGTGCTGTGTGCGAGTAATAGAAACCATCATGGCCTTTTCCTCAAAACTAATTGTTTTCAAATCACTGAAATTTTGAAATCTGTCGTGGTTCACAGAGATACAAATGTGTGAGCTTCAGAAAGTGCTCCTGCCCATTCTGGAAACATGAAGGCACAAATGTCAGTGTTAAGGCTGTTAAGTATCAGGGGGTAGCCGTGTTAGCCTGTAGCCACAAAAACAACAAGGTGTCCGGTGGCACCTTAAAGACTAAAAGATTTATTTGAGCATAAGCTTTTGTGGGTAAAAAAACCACTTCTTCAGATGCATCCTGGAGGCCAGAGGAATTGTGAAAGGAATGGGGGTTCGACTGCCATAATCCCACCTGCTGTATCTCAGAATTCAGCTGGTGCCTGGCCCATTGCCAAACTACTCTCAATCAGCATGGAAGAAGCCCAGAGGGATGCAGCATTCCCGTCCCTTACTGAGATTGAAAAGCAGATCCTGCTACACTTGAGAACTTTAGGCTGCACTGTCAGATTAGTGCATAAGAACGAGGAAATGAAACAGACTAGAAACAAGGTTATCCAAACTGAGTGAAGGGCAGAATAGAAAGATGCAGGTTAAATAGTCAAAAGCACGTTGGTTGATTATTTTAAAAAATTCTGATAGCTTTAATAAATTATTAGGAACACAAAGAAGCCAAATATATATATACACAATTTTAAATAACATAGACCAGTGTTTCTCAAAGTCGGTCCGCCGCTTGTTCAGGGAAAGCCCCTGGTGGGTCGGGCCGGTTTGTTTACCTGCCGCGTCTGCAGGTTCAGCCGATCACGGCTCCCACTGGTCGCGGTTCGCCGCTCCTGGCCAATGGGGGCTGCGGGAAACGGGGCAGGACGAGGGATGTGCTGGCCGCAGCTTCCCGCAGCCCCCATTGGCCTGGAGTGGTGAACCGCAGCCACTGGGAGCCGTGATCGGCCGAACCTGCGGACGCGGCAGGTAAACAAACCGGCCCGGCCCGCCAGGGGCTTTCCCTGAATAAGCGGCAGACCGGCTTTGAGAAACACTGTCATAGGTGACCGAATCCTGTGCTCAGTTACACCAGTATAAAT